GGAATAAGGGGAGGACGTCCCGGGCGGGCCGGGAGGGGTTGGTGTCCTCTCACAGGCAGACACGCGCAGTGTGCGGGGCCAGCCAGCCACCCAGAGCCCATGTGGCCAGGAGGCTGGCAGTACTTTGCAGGAGCGGCCAGCGGTCCCCCGCAGCGGGGGTCCCTCGGCGCAGCCAGGGACACTCTCCCCAGGGCCCACATGCCACTCTCCTGCCTCGAAGTCCCGACCCAGCGCCCCAGACCAGGTCAGGTGCTATCCTGTGCTCGTGGGGGGCTCGGGTGACCCTGGGTGTCGCCACCCCTCCACGCCCCCAGTCTCCCCCCAGGGCAGGAAAGACTGACTTGGCCACTATTTGTCAGGTGGCGGCGGTGGGGACACATCCAGCTTGGCAGGGAGGTTGTGCCAGGAGACAGGCCTTCTCGCAGGAATGACCCAAGCTATGTGGGATCCTGAAAAGGTTCTGTGTGGGGAGCGGCTGGAACCCCCAGCAGAACTGGGTGGCTTGGAAGCAGAGGCCATGCCACCCCCTGCCTGGCCCAGGCAGGGCCCCGGCGCGGGGTTTATGGGGGGAACTGGCCGGCTGCTGGGAAGTTTCCACCCCATGCGCCCGGGCACTCATGACGGAAGCAGGGGAGCTGACGGCCAGGAGGCGGCAGGTCCCACAGCCAGCCTCGAGAGAGAAGAGGCAACGTCCGCGGTGACCTCGGCCTTTATTGCCTCTGTGCTGGGGTCCCAGGCTGGGGTTCAGAGGTCTCCGGGGCAGCAGGTGACCCTAGGCCCGAATTATTGCTTCCTGGCAAGATCACCTTGGGCCTCCCGCAGTGCCCTGAGAATGGGTGCGAGCATGCAAACGATATGCGAGTGACATGCAAACCAGCCCAGGATTCCCCAGAGTTCTCTGGTAGATCCACGGGTGCTGGAAGAGTCAGGAGCCTGCCGGCCCAGGAGGGGGATGGGCACGCCCGGGTCCTTCCTTACCCACACTGCCAACTGACCTGGCCCAGCCTCAGGCATCCAGGTTTGTGGGCTGGGGAGTCCCTGAGCATCAGCCCTGGTTTGCTGCTGGTGGGGGAAGAGCAGAAGCCTGGCCCCACGACAGCAGAAGAAAGCAGAACGCCCGCTAGGTGGACAGGCGGCCTAAGGCCTACCCAGAGAGGGAAGGGTCCTGCCCAGGACCACACAGCAAGGCGGGGGCCCAGGGAAGCCAGAGCGCCTTGGAGGCCAAAAGCTACCAACAATAAAACACAACGACAAATAAACAAGTAGGAAACGAGCAGCCCCGTCCCGGACCCCGGGCCGAGAGACCCTCCACCAGCCCACCATTTCAGGTCTAGGAGGCGGCAGGTCTTTGGTCTTGGTGCTGAGCTGACCAGTCCAGCAGGCTCCAGGGTCCTCGGCTCACACGGCCAGGCTCAGCTGCTGTCCACAACCCACCAGGAGGCTGGGGGTCAGAGGCTGGGTCAGGAGCCACAAGGAGCGAACTGCCCTTCCAGGGCCCGGGGCTGGAGGACAGGGCGGGGCTGCAGCCCACCTGGGAGAAACACAGTGGTGAGGGTGTCCGGAGCCCGCAGGTGGTCGACGAGGGTGCGCCGGAAGGCTTTGCTGCAGGCCGACTGCTGATGCCTGTGGGGACAGAGGCCGCGCCATCAGGGCCCTGAGGGTGGGTCTCCCACTTCCACCTGCTGCCTGGAGTCAGGGCTTTCCGCAGACGGGCCTGAGCCTCAGTTTTCTCCTCTGAAATCGGGACAGTCTGGGACAACACTGGGAGGCGGAGAGAAGCGCCACACGAGGTGCCGGCACACAGCGGCAGCAGCGCCTCTGCTGAGTGCCTGCTGCGTACCCAGCACCGCTCTCAGTCTGTGCCCGTCTCATGCAGCCCGCCAAGGAGGAGACTGGCGTCGCCACCTTTCAGGAAGGACTCGGGGCTCGGGCGGGTCGGGGAACTCCTCGGGGCACGGAGCCGGGGAGCGGGAGAGCAGGATTTGTACCAGGCCCAACATCCCCCAGGGCTCCACTCAACAGTCAGCCCACCGCCCGTACCTTCTCCAGGAGGCCTCATCCTGCCAGAACTCGTACAGGGCGAAGGAGGCGCGGTCTGGCATCTTCTGGGTGGACACACTGTGGGCCGAAGAGACGGCCAGGCCAGGCGAGGCTGCCATCACTGCAGCTGGCCCAGCCGGGGCTCCCCAGGAGCCCTGGCCCAGGACGGCCAGCCCGTCCGCTCACCCCTCCCGCCTCACACCCCCCCAGCCGGCTGGGGACTCACTGCAGGCAGCGGCTCTGGGCCCCTGTGACATCCACGTAGCAGCACAGGGCTCGGTGGAAGTCCTGCAGGGCTTCCTCTGCCACCTGGACCTGCCTCTGGACCACGAGGATGTGCTGGCAAGAGAGACCGCCAGTCACCAGGGCAGGCAGGGCGCAGGGAGGGCCAGCGGGGCCCCTGGGAGGCTCCGGCCCATCCTGCGGTCGGTCTCCTGCCCCAGCCTCGGGTCCCCTTCCCTCCCGTCTCCAGGGGCCCACCCACCCGTGGTGTGCCACCACTTCCTGCTACTCCCTCCCGCTTTGGCCACACTGCCCAGGCCGGTAGTCAGAAGCACTGATGGGAGAGAGGCCTCGAGAGGGGCCGTGGTTTCTGCAGGGCCACAGAGCCCAGCGCCTGCCTGCCGGCCCGGGGAGGGGGCGTGTGGGCCCTGCAGCGGGTGGGTGGACAGCTGGCGCCACGGGCCCCTCACATCACAAGCACCCGAACCCAACATCCGGCTACCTGGCCCTCTCCTGGGCTCACCAAGGCGGGCCCCTCGGCAGGGTCCTCTTCACGGAGGGGGTCCAGCTGGGGGGCCTGTGAGGGACAGAGCGTGAGCCGGGCCCTCAGCATGGTCCTGGCTGGGGCAGGGTCCGGCAGGGTCCTCCTGGCAGCCGGCCCCGGGCCACTCACCTTGCCCTCCAGCTGGTCGACGAGTCCCTGGAGACGGCGGACCTGGAGCAGCCACTGCACCTCGGCCTCTGAGCACCGCCCTGCGGGGGTCAGGCATGGCCCCTCAGGCCGGAGGCTTCTCGGGAGGAGGTAAGGGGCCGGGGGAGTGGGCACGGGGGCACAGACCCTCCGTGGCCAGCTGCCCACCCACCACAGGCGCACCTGTGTCCGCGGAGCCGGGGGACCAGGCAGGTGACCGATGGACACTCCTCAGAGCTCTACGCGGCCCCCGCCGGCTGCCACAGGGCCTGCTCTGTGCTGCCATGCTCTCTCCGTCCGACCTGGGGAGCGGAGGGTCAGCCTGCTGCCCCAGCCCAGGGCAGGGCCGGGACCCCAGGACAGGAGCGGCCGTGGGGAAGACGGGCCTCGGGGCCTCTCCTGGCCCTCACGGCCTCCCCAACACGGGGGCTCCAGGATGCAACTGGGAAACGGGATGGGGCTGAGGGGCTTTGAGTGTGGGGACCGGGGCCCTCGGGCTAGCAACCGCTCGCGGGCGGGGCCACACGTACCGCCAACCGTGGGCCTGGGCCTCCAGGGTGTCTGATGCCCCCTCCAGCGAACTCTGCAGGGCTTGGAGCTGGCTGGCCGTCTCGCGCAGCAGGAAGCGTGTCACGAACTGGTCCACCTTGGAGGCTCGCTCATACTCCTGGGGGCCGAGGGGTGGGCATCTCAGCCTGAGCCCCCACTTCCGGAGGGGCCGGCCGCCGGAGCCGCAGGGGCAGCATCCAGAGCAGGGACACGCGAAGCCCGCAGGCCAGGGGCCTGGACTGCTCCTTGGCGAGGCCGGCTCCCTTCCCGAGCAGCAGAGGCCAGCCGTGGAGGCATCCGCCAGCTGGCAGGCCGTGCTCCTCTCCTGACACGGCACACTTTCTGTCCTGCCATGGTCAGGGAGGCCCCAGGCCCAGGTAGGCTGGCAGGGCTGGCAGGGGGCAGCCAAGGGCCACACTGACACTTGAGGCACGATGACCGTACGATGTGGCCCCAAGCCCACGGCCGACACATTTGTCTACTCATCCCTTCACCCACACACACGACACCGAGTGCTTTTTGCCAGAGGCTGCAGACGCCCCCAGAAGCGGTCGTCCTCGTCCACACATGCCCTGGCACTGATCCCCACCCACACGGCCAACTGTGTCCCAGCCTCTCCCAAGGCAGGCAGAGATTAGGGGACGGGGGCTGGCCATGCCCTGGGATTCTCAGAGATGCCCCAACTACCCGCACCTCTTGGCACCTCAGTTTCCCCATCTATAAAAAAGAATGCTAGAACCCACCACGTGGAGCCGTGGCGAGGTCCCCCAGGAGTTGAGGCCTCCGTAGGACTCAGCCCAGGGCCTGGCACCAAGTTTTGGTAACAGAACGGCAGTCGTTTTATCGTCAGACTTGACACAAGGAACCTGGCGCCTCGTGGGGTGGGGCCGTGCGCCCGCTGATGGGATTCAGGCGGACGCCCCCAGGCCTGGGCTACTCCCCCGGCCCCCAGCCCTGAGCGCCCGCCCCACCCGCCCCAGGACCTGGCCCTGGGAGCACACAGCTGGGAAGCGGGCAAGAGGCTGGGGCTGGAGGCTGGAGGCTGCTCTCCTGGCACCAAGGCCGAGGCCAGACCCTGCCTGGTGTGCAGGTCCACGGGAGAGGAGGCTGGGCACACCCAGGTTCGGCTGTGCCAGGAAGGGCCTGCTCCCAGTGAAGCCTGGCAGCCCCAGTGTCCAGAAAGCCCCACACCCAGCCACGGCAAGCTTGACGCCGAAGCCCTGGCCTCGCCTTGGCGGCTACTCTGCACATAGCACCCAAGCACTCTGCATCCCGTCTTCCCAAGGCGCCTCTGTCTCCGGACCCACCCAGGCCTGGCCCAGTCCCTCTGCAGCCAAGGTGGCCTCCCCGCCAAGTGCCCTTGGGGCAGGGCACTCCCGAGCCCAGAAGCTTCCGGCGGCCACTCTACCCACGAGGAAAAGCACAAACCCACGACTGACCGCGCAGCCTCCTCCGCCCCTCAGGGGTCTCGGCGGTGCCAGCCTCACCCCCGCTGTAGGCCTGCTGCTTCCTGGTCCTCAGAGACAGGCCTGCGGCCTACTGCACCGCGAGAGGCACCACACTCCTGTGGCAGCATCAGGCCACGCGTCCTCACCTCCCGGTCCCAGACGCGCTCCACGCTGGAGACCCCAGCCGTGCCGGTCCCAGCCTGTCTGCCAGGCACCGCCAGCCCTCAGCATGCCACGCTTTGGGCAGAGCAGCAAGGTGAAGGTGCCGCCAGAGCCCCAGGCCCACTTCTGCTGAAGACACCCTCGTGGCTGCCAACACGCCCAACACCCCCCACACTGGCCTCAGGCTGCGTCACCCCTCGCTAGGTGCCAGGACTGACCTCCTCACACCCACGCGGCTCAGCTGGCACCGCCACGCTCTCCACGGGTCAGCCTCCCGGCCACGCAGGACGGACCCCTGCACGGCCCCAGCACCCCTCCCTGGGGCCACAACTAGAAGCCGGAAGAGGCCGCGTCTTCGCCGCGACCGCCAAGGCGACAGGGCGCCTCTGGGCTCGCCACAGCCCTGCGAGCACTTCCTGTTCCCGAACGCAGAAGCCACCCCTGCCCTCGGCATCAGAGGCGACCCCCGCGAGCCCTCCCTGCGGCGCTGCGAGCTCCCCCGAGCGAGGCGTCCTCTCGCAGCCAGACGGCCCTGCGGGACGAGGCTCTGTAGAGACCCGCTGCCTCTCCCTGTGAGCACCGGACCGGCTTCTGGCCGGAGGCCGAGCCCCGAGAAGGACCAGGGCTCGCTCAGGACCGCGGCGAGTCTCCGCCAAACCGAATCCGTTCGCGGAA